TATTTCAGCATAATGTACTCATGTTATCATTTCCTTTGTTGCTGTTGTTTTAGTATATGCTGAATATTTGTGCTTGTCCTCTTTTTTATTGTGATGTGAAAGTTTATCATTTTTCTTTGAGGTTACCCTATGATTTATAATTTTTAAAAAAAATCATGTTTTTGCTGAAGGTTTATATAGCACTTTAGGTTGCCATTCAACAACAAGTTGTTCAGCGACATTGGTTACATTTTTCTCAATTTGTGAGCATTCATAAAAATGTATTTCCGCTTATCATCATTCCATTGCATTTTGTGTTATTTAAATGTCTTTGCAAGCAAGAGGTAATCATCTAACATAGAGTTTTGTTATGAGGATTGCAGTTAGACTTAAGTGTTGAAGTCATAGGAAGTGTCTCAAAGAATAGTATGGATGTAGCATTTCAGTCAATTTGCCCTTAAGGAAGAATTTTTTTTAAATGAATTATAGACATTCTGAGGGTTTTTTCCCCCAAAGTGTATTTATAATATATATAAGACTGTAAACAAAGTTAATTATTTTTTAAATCAAATTTTTAAAAAAATTTTCTTTTTTTTCAGTATTCCCTCCTCTCCCCTCCCCTCCCACCCCTAGTAACCAAAAAAGAAAATTTCCTTCTATATATAAACCTTTGCTTAACTTTTTACAATAATGAATTAATAAAATATTTCTGTGATTGACTTACTTCACTTGCCATAATGTCATCCACATGATGCTGTGTTTTGTAGATTCTACATTATTCTTTAGTGTTGCATAGTATTCCGTTGTGTGTATGTCCCTGTTGTGGTTACCTAGCGCTGCTCTAACAGAAAATATACCGCAAATGGGATGGCTTTAACAAACAGGAGTTTATTCTCTAACAATTTGGAAGCTTTAAGTCTTGAGTTTAATTGCCAGGCTCTAGGGGCTGAGTGAAAGCCCCTCTGCCTTAGGCTTCAGCTCTGCCTCCTGCTCCTGGCCCATTGAAGCTAGAGGCTTTTCTTCACTCAGACAGCTACTGGCTGCTGAGACTGACAAGCCCAAGGTTCACAAGGAAAAAGGCATAGTCCTAATGTTACCAAACCACACGGCAGGCCATTCATTCAAGTCCATTGATAGTCTTGATAGTCCCAGGGTTGGCAGATCATGGCAGGCTGCTGAACAAGGACTTGGCCACATGCAGGGTTCAAGCGTGCCATAAGCTAGAGACCATTCCCAAAGGTGTTTCTTATATACATGAAGCAGACCACATACCCAAAGCAACTATTCAGCTGCTCCAGTAGATTCCACCATGGAGTTGATTACCAATCTCACCATGGTGAATGACTATATTCAGCTGCCCAGCCACTCAACCAGGCCCAGCCAAGTTGATACACAAACTTAACCACAGTTCCATCCCTTGTCAACTTGGCACCTGTACAGATCTTCAATGGATGGTATCTGTACAGATCTTCCTCACTGGGTGACTCCAATTCCCTAGTTCCTGACTGGCGACCTCACCCCCTTGGCCTGGTGGGCCCCATTCCTCTCCTCCTTGGGTATGGCAGCCTTGCCCCTTCACTCTTGGGCAGCGGCTATGACTCCATCCCACTAGCTCACATGAACTAGCAGCCCCATACTCCAGAACCAAGTTGGTGAAGGTCTGGCTCTTTGAAACCTAGGGGTCTGTGGTGGTTCCACCCCCAAAGGCCACGGTCCTACCCTTGAAGCTGAGGCAGCTCTGCTTCCCATTTCCTTGGTCTCTCTGCTTCTGCCAATTAATGCCTGAGGATAACCCACTCTGCTGGAAATCTTCCTGCCCAAAGGATACTTAGCTTTATTGCTCTGTGGGCTGGCCAACCTGCTACTCCATTTCATGCCGGTCTTTTCCACCAATTAATGTCTGAAGGCAGCTCATTCTGCCAGGAAGCCACTTGCCAGTGGCACCCGGCTTTCTCCTGCATCAGCTGGTAAGCCTGTTGCTGTTTAATGCAGGTCTCTGGACTCTGCTGCTGCCATCTGTCATGCTGGTCTCTCGACTCTGCTCCTGCTGTCTGTCATGCTGGTCTCTTGGCTCTGCTCCTGCCATCGGTCATGCCGGGGTCTCTCTACCGGGGTCTCAGGTCAAAGACATGCTCCACTCTTATTTCTATATTTTAGGTATCCGTCAGAGAAGCACCCAATTCAGTACCATATTCTGTTCTGGTTACCTGGTGCCACTCTGACAGGAATATACCACAAATGGGATGGCCTTGACAAATAGGAGTTTATTCTCTAACAGTTTGGAGGCTTTAAGTCTGGGTTCAAAGTGCCAGGCTCTAGGGGCTAGGTGAAAGCCCCTCAACTCTGGGCTTCAGCTCTGCCTCCTGCTCCCAGCCCACTAAAGCTAGAGGCTTTTCTTCTCTCAGGCAGCTACTGGCTGCTGCGACTGACAAGCCCAAGGTTGACAAATAGAATGGCACAGTCCCAATATCACCAAACCACATGACAGAGCATTAATTCAAGTCCATTGAAAGTCCCAGTATCAGCAGAGCATGGCAGGCTGCTGAACAAGGAGTTGGCTACATGCAGGATTCAAGTGTGCCATAAGCTAGAAACCATTCCCAAAACTGTTTCTTATATACGGGAAGCAAACCACATACCCAAAGCAGCTACTCTGCTGTCCCAATAGATTCCACCATGGTGTTAATTACCAATCTCACCATGGCGAATGACTACATTCAGTGCTCAGCCACTCAACCAGAGCCAGTCAAGTTGACGCACAAATTTAACCACCACGGTACCATAGTTTGCTTATCCATTCCCCTGTTGTTGGGCACCTAGATTGTTTCCATTTCTTTGCTGTTGTAAAGGAGCTCTGGTGGCATAGTGCCCAAGGCATTTGACTGCTAACGGGAAGGTTGGTGGTTCAGACCCACCAGCCACTCTACAGAAGGAAGACCGGGCAATCTATTTCTGTAAAGATTTACTGCCTTGGAAACCCAAAGAGGGTTGCTATGAGTCTGAATCGACTTGATGACAGCAAGTTTGGTTTTTGGTTTGGGCTAATGATCATGAACATTTCTTTTTTTTTTTTCTTTTTATTGTGATTTGGGTGAAAATTCACAGAACAAATACACTTTGCATACAGCAGTTCACATACACTTTGTCTCATGACATTAACCACAATTTACCACAATGCAACAGCTACCCCCCCCACTTCCTTCTGATAGTTACCTCTTCCCAGTGTCCATCACTCCATGCACTCACTCACTCCTACCCACTGAGCTGTCTCACTGTGCATAAGCAGCTCTTTCTCTCATGCTTGTTCTCTCCTAGGAGTGTAT